AACCTTTTGAACCATTGGATCTTGGCATCATCAAACTATCAGACCAATGAACCTTCTGACTATTGAACCTTTTGAACCATTGGATCTTGGCATCATCAAACTATCAGACCAATGAACCTTCTGACTATTGAACCTTTTGAACCATTGGATCTTGGCATCATCAAACTATCAGACCAATGAACCTTCTGACTATTGAACCTTTTGAACCATTGGATCTTGGCAACTTCAAACTATCAGACCAATGAACCTTCTGACTATTGAACCTTTTGAACCATTGGATCTTGGCATCATCAAACTATCAGACCAATGAAACTTTTGACTGCTGTCATGCACCTAACAAATCATTTAACGATGAACTTATAGTAATTTCATAAATTCACCAATGACAATATTTAGTAATCAAAATAAATATCAGAATCAGAAACAAAGACAAAAATACACAAACATATCTACATTGCTACCTCAATTTGATATACTAGAGACATACTGTAGCATCATATCCAAACTGCTTAAGATAACGAAACAATATCATAAAATAGTCCAAACATGCTGAATGGATGCTACAGAAATTAAAATTTTTAAAAAAATACAGTTTTAGGGTAAACAACAGATGTGTCACAAAGTGCTGACTATGGCAATGACCCTGGACAGACACAGTGATCAGAATATAGACAGACTGGGTGTCTGTATATAATAAATATGTGATAAAATTTGCAATTATACCTTAATTAACTTGCAATAACAGAGACCATCTACATGTATAACACATCATTTCTGACCTAAAATATACATTCAAATTTATAAATTTTCATTGATGCCTTGTTCTCTTCAGTGATGGCTTACTGCCTACCACAATCTCGCTGTATATGCTACCTCTACTAGTACTGTACCATAACAGTTTCCATGCATATGGGGAAAATTATTATAACACATCACAACTGAGCTGAAATATCAATTCACTCTTAAACATTTCTAATGTGTCTTTTCATCTTCAGTGATAGAGAATTGTCCAACACAATCTCCTTGCTTTATATACCCTGCCTCTATAGTTTCCATGTTTTTGGGGAAAATTGATTCTTTGTGTTACCTGGAACCCACATTTGTTGTGTAATTGTCCTGTTCCATATAACTGGCTCCACAGGATCTGCTGTGTTTGGAAGTTTTGTTCTGGGTGGTTCTGGCAGCACTCTCTCTCACTCAGGATAAAATTGACCTCTTGGTCTGCCAGCAGCTCTTTATACAATTCCCGAAGCGTATTTGCTAAAAACATAAATGAATTGAGTGTAACTGTTTGGAATGAAATTGGACCATCTATGTAATATACTGCTAACTATTATTAGGAACCATCTAATGATACATTATTCATATATAGGACGCTTTGGTAAGATGCACAAGATCATTTTTGTATCACCATACTTGATATTTATATCTTGATAATGCTCACATGTAATGATGATCAAATTAAAATATAAGTATTCATTTTGTGTTTTGTGTGTACAAGATGAATTGGTTCAAATTCTTAACAAATTTAATGACAGGTGTGATTAATAAAACAATTTTAATTAAAATGACTAAAAAAATTACATTTACATCACAATTAAAGCAGTGAAACATTAATTCTATTCATAATTATCCATGCTTTCCAAATTGAAATAATCTTTTCACCCCCCTCCTCCCCCCCCAAAAAAAAAAAAAAATTACAATTTTGTATATCTACACAAAGGAAAGAGGGGAAACGAATTACCTATCAATCCTTACTTGTATAAAAAAAATTTTAAAAAACAGCCATACATTTTGTCTACTATTTCCGAGAGGTCCAGTTATCTGTTAACAATGGCTGTCCGGTCTCTGGCTGTTCATTCATCCTAAAACTTGCCACATCCCATGCCTTGCACAACTGGGTGAGATGCAGATGTTCCTGTTGCTGTCTTTTCATGTCTGCTTCAGTCTTATAAAAAATACATTCCCCCCATGTTCAGCCAGGTAAAGTCAGTTCACCTAGAAGACACCATGCTGTATGGAGACTGGAGCTGGAAAAAGAGACATGACAATGTATAAGTGAAGGAACACAGATTATCTTAACACAAAGAAAAGACAAAAACCTGACAGTCCACCAGAGCCAGTTGAGAAAAATATTAAAACTATGGTACACTGCCAAGTGCCCACCTTATATGGTAGACATCATTGTTGTGTTGATTGAACTGTGATAAGTTAAAAATAACCTTGTCTTTTGAAGGCTACTGGGCACAATTTTGACTGCTGAGACCAGCACATTCTCAGATTGAATACAGTTTAATAAACAGAACTCTGCCAAATCTGTTGGAATTTTTGTGACATTTGCACACAATATGCCTAACAATTGTAAAAATCTGGAATAATGATATCAATTGGCTGTGACTAATTGAAAGATATTTTCTAAGGAGTAATTTGAGAGAAGTCACTAAGGAAATTACTAATATAATTTTTTTAAATCATGACAAAATTACTAAAACTTTAAGGGAACAAAATATGATTATTGCTTTTTTTTCTCAAAGGAGGAAGATTAAGAGACCAATTATATACTGTCACGTGACTTGAAAAACACTATCAACCATTAGTTTAGTGAAGCACCTGCAAGCAGTCCAGTTACTGTCATGACAATGGGTCATCCCAGGGAAGTAATGACCACTGCTCCACTTTGGGTCCAATAAATTTCAACACAATCTGACCACATCAAGCAGGCCACTACTGAGACGCTTCACAATTTACAACAACTGTCAAACCATGTGTGTGAGCTAAAAAAAAAAGATAAACATTCATTATGATTATAATAACTCATAATTTTCAAGTCATATTGTTCATGAAATCAAAAAAAAAAAAAAAAAAAAAACTGTGATAATTGGTGTTTCTGTCAGAGGTAAGAAAGAGGACCAATTATACCCACTGTTACTTGAAAAACAAAACCAACCTTCATTTTGTGTACTACCTGCAAGAAGTCCAGTTACCTGTTTACCATGGCTGTCCTGTCTCTGGCTCTTCACAACCCATTCATCCTGAAACTTGCTGTGTCTTGCACAACTGTGTGAGATGAAGGGATATTCCTGCAGCTTCTATTTCCTGTCTATTTCATATTAACAATACATGTCCTCCATTTTCAGCCAGGTAAAGTCAGTTCACCTAGAAGACACCATGCTGTATGGAGACTGGAGCTGGAAAAAGAGACGAAAGATTATATTAATGAAGTGACATAACTATCTTAATAAAAAGACAGAACCCTGACAGTCCACAAGAGTCAGCAGAGCTAAACCTACAATACCAGTATACTGCCTAATGTCCACCTAATATGACAGACATCACAGTTGTGGTGACTGGACCAAGACAAGTTTAACAGACTTTACGAAAGGCGTCGGACCGTCGGACATGCCTGGCAAATTTCGTCTCGGTCCGATAAAAATTCCTGTATCGTCGGACCTTATGTCCGGCGAGTTTTCAAACTGATTGGAAATGTGTAAATATAAGGAATACCTTGTTGTTTCTTTTCTGGACGATATATTTTACTTCATTCGAAAAGAGACGGGGTGAAAATCTCGGGGAGTTCCCAGCTAATTATACATAATTTATTAACCTCAGTTTCACTCACAAATACTATTTTGTGACTGGCTGAGGTTGGGGGATTCCTGGATGATGTAATGTACAGTCTCGTTTTCGTTTTTGTAATACCCCTAAAAATGGCCGCAACACATGTGCTCGTGCTATTTGCGTTTTTACAGACTTGATCCCCTGTTTATTCATTATCAGTCGTACACTGTACTCATGGATAAGCCTTTTGTTTAGAAAATGACTTTGTTGAACTTTAAACACTTCGTTGGTGCAAAGCGTGGCAAAAATGAAAACGAAGTGAGGAAGAGAAACGGAAGTTTACTAAAATTGGAAAGAAGGTAGGCCCTGGCGGACTTATGATCTGTAGGAGAGGAAAATAGTGTGAGCCAAGTGTCAGGAGTACTAAAGTTTTCATTTTGATCAATAGCAACATAACTGTTACAGCTTTATTACGGGTTCTTAAAGTATGGAACATATGTACGTATTTGCATGTACCGTTCACCACGAGTTGGAGAAAGAGCACATGAACTTGAGAAAAGCTCACCGTTTGNGAAGTGAGGAAGAGAAACGGAAGTTTACTAAAATTGGAAAGAAGGTAGGCCCTGGCGGACTTATGATCTGTAGGAGAGGAAAATAGTGTGAGCCAAGTGTCAGGAGTACTAAAGTTTTCATTTTGATCAATAGCAACATAACTGTTACAGCTTTATTACGGGTTCTTAAAGTATGGAACATATGTACGTATTTGCATGTACCGTTCACCACGAGTTGGAGAAAGAGCACATGAACTTGAGAAAAGCTCACCGTTTGAGTTTCTTTTTATAAAAAAGAAATAAAGTGAAGAAGGGACTAGACTCGGACTGGACAGTCCCTGTCAAAGCTTCATTTGGATGAAAGAGACCGCCTTACTGTGCTGTTTCAAAATGCATATGTTATTGCCAAAAACAATGTGTGAAATGGTTATCTGATTAACGGACGTTTTTATGGACATACATTTGATATTACTAGCTACACATTCTTCATACTGGTATTGTTTTTAGTCCTTCTGTCATTCCACAATGTTTTTTTTTTTTCATTAAATAAAAAAACTCGTTATGCAAGTAATTTTTTGTCTATTTTTTTTCTTATTTTACTTTTTTACAAATAAATATATATCAAAAATTTAATATTTGATTTAATGTCAGTGATTTAAAACCTTAGAAAATACACATGAAAACATGTATAATGGTTCATATTTCTATTATTTTACTTCGGTCTGACAGATTTTGTTTCGGTCTGACAGAATTTTCAAGCTTGGCAGACCGAATGTCTGACAGATTTTTTTGGCCTTTCGTAAAGTCTGGTTTAAAATGTCTTTTGGAGGCTGCTGGGCACAATTGTGACTGCTGAGTTGGGCACAATTGTGACTGCTGAGTTGAGCACAATCTTAGATTAAACATAGTTAAATAAGCAGAACTCTGCCAAATCTGGAATTTCTGTGAAATTTGCACACAAATTGCCTGACACCTGTAATAATCTGGGATAAGTATTTCAGTTAACTGTGCCTTGTTAAAGTACATTTTGTAAAGAGTAACATAAGAAAAGTGAAAAAAATTATTTAAATTTACAGAAAACACAAAATATGATAACTGGTTTGTTGATCTACATGGGAAGGATAGAAGACAAATTATCTATTGTAACACAACTTGTAAAACAAAACCAAGCAATAATTTTGTGCACTACCTGCAAGGAGGTTTTTTTGGCATGGTGATGGGTGACTGTGGGTAATGACCACTGCTCCACCTTGGGTCAAATACATATCACCTGTTGTGACCAGGTCCCGTGGGTCTCACTCGCCATGTGCTTCTTTCACACTCGTTCCCATTACCACATCATCCACCAGGTGGTGGCCCCAGTCAAGACGCCACTAATCGGCAGCCGTGTATTGGATATAACATTCCTCCCAACCTTAATTTTTTTTCTACAACATATAAGCTTAAAAATCATTATCATTATCATTATATTTTGAATCCTGAAGAATTTTCAGTTTTCATATTGTATAAAGTCACATCTTGAGTGCTATATGCTTAAGCCTTTCAGGACAGCGATCCGCCTTCATCCTGATTGAATATCAATTATCTCAGATTACTTTTTTTCAGGACAGCGATCCGCCTTCATCCGGATTACATTAAAAAAAAAATCTCAGATTACTTTTTTTTTTAGGACAGCGATCCACCTTCATCCTGATTACATAGAAATAATCTCAGATTCCTTTTTTTTTTTTTAGGACAGTGATCCACCTTCGTCCTGATTAAATATCAATTATCTCAGATTACTTTTTTTTAGGACAGCGATCCGCCTTCATCCTGATAAATATAAATTATCTCATATTCCTTTTTTTCAGGACAGCGATCTGCCTTCATCCTGATTAAATATAAATTATCTCAGATTACTTTTTTCAGGACAGCGATCCGCCTTCATCCTGATTACATAGAAATTACCTCAGATTACTTTTTTTCTCCTCAGGACAGCGATCAGCCTTCATCCTGATTACATATAAATGATTGAACTGTCACTTTAATACATAATCTTTAAAGTAACCGGTCTTCTGATCGTTCTCTATGGTCTAGTGTAATTGGTTCTGCAATATGATCACTGTTTTTCTCTTGCTGTGGCATCTTCTCATCAATTGAATTCTGTGTATTTAATGCTATATCATCTAAGTTTGGAATATTCTGTGTGTCTGTTGCTGCATTGTCACTTTTCACTGTAATATATCACTAAGTTACAATTCACATGCATCATCTTGTCTTCTCATCTCATTTGTGTTTTCTTTCAAATATAAGTCTGCTGGAATTTTCATTCCATTATCTGCTGTGTTTATGACATTGTTACACAGTTTGAATTGACTTGTGTCTCTGCAGATTGTTCTTCTGTCTGTAACTCTTCTGGCAGTAACTTGAGAACCATGTATTTCCATGACGATATAGAAAATTGGTTCATATGGTGTTGAGAGTTTGTTTCTTTTGTTCTGTTTAACTAAAACATAGTCACGTATAATGAGTGTATTCTCCCTCCAAGTTTGATTAGTGTTGGGTCAGTGAGTGTTTTCTCTGCTATCTCACCGAGAATCGCTGCATTTTCAGATTTGACCATCCATCTGATCATCTTCTCTGTACTATGACCACCCATATGTGGCAGTGGGTGTCTGGAGAGAGAATCTGGGTCTGCATCATTCTTTCCTGGCTCATATACCACTTCATAGTCAACATCTTGTAAGTCCATCACCCATTTCTCTATTCTCGGTGGTAATTTTGCTTGTGCTTTGTTAAACATGGGTACTAATGGTTTGTGTGCTTCAATAATACTAAATTCTTCTCTCATGTCCCAGTATGGTTCAATGTCCTCATCTTTTCTGTATAGATTGTGGATTCCAATCTCCTGTTGAGATTCTCCCTCCAAGTTTGATTAGTGTTGGCTCAGTGAGGGTTTTCTCTGCTATCTCATTGAGAATCACTGCATTTTCAGATTTGACCACTCTGTCAAACTGTGTGCCTGAGCTGAAAAAACAAAAAAGATAAACACTCATTATAAACATTCAACAGGCCTGTAGCAATGGCTATTTTAAAAGTTTTTTTCCTAAAAGAAGTGGACCTTTTACCATGAAACCATTGTGTACCTAAATGAAAATTTAACCAGAGGGAACCTTTTCCTGGCAAAAAGGACTATTTGTTCCCATGTGTAAACTGGCAGTGGTCCTGGGCAAAGTCAAACTTGGCAGCTTCCTCATATTCACAGAAATTTGTACTTTCAAAAAATTGCTAATATGCATCTGATGTTTTGCCATGACTTCATGTAAAAAAAATCAAACTTAAAATTGTCATCATTTTATATTGGCAATTTAAGCTAAATTTAGAGGGACATTTGTTGTGACTTTGCAGCGACCCGACATACTTCAAAATGTGTCACAACACTATATTCAATGCAGGAATGGTGCAGTCCAGATGTAACATTGTAATAATGTGATGTTATACTTGGCTACATACTGGGGTATGTATGAATTCCTAACATGCAAAGCCATTACTTCACTCAAGTTGGAGGGCTATGGCTAAATAGAGACTCATAAGAGATACCTGATAGGACGAAGTGAACACTGCAAAAATCCCCACAAATAACTTTTTAGGAAAACATATAGAAACCCTATTGCTCCCTAACTCTGCTAGAACTTTTTATGTTTTACCTCAGATATTTCCAGGAATCCAGATCTACTAAATAACACTTATAACACTCCCTTTATCTATCCTCTAGCTCTTGTATCTGCAGCTCTCTCTCCTCTCTCTCTCTCAAAAGCCCCGCCCAACTGTCGCTTTCAATCCCAAGACTTCCGGTACCAGATCACTGCAACAAAGTACTCACCCTTTTGTCATCAAGAATGTGTTTGCATGCATTTAAAAGGATGCTGGAACCGTGGAATGTCCTACTGGTACAGATCAAACTTTTATGGTAACCCATAAATATATCGTAGCCTTAGTATAACGTTATTTTATAACGTGTGAAATTTTCCCGCTCCGTCCGACTAAGTAGGTCAAAGAAAACCCGCAGCNTACTTCTGTCTGTAACTCTTCTGGCAGTAACTTGAGAAACATGTATTGCCATGACGACATAGAAAATCAGTTCATATGGTGTTGAGAGTTTGTTTCTTTTGTTCTGTTTAACTAAAACATAGTCACGTATAATGAGTGTATTCTCCCTCCAAGTTTGATTAGTGTTGGGTCAGTGAGGGTTTTCTCTGCTATCTCACCGAGAATCACTGCATTTTCAGATTTGACCATCCATCTGATCATCTTCTCTGTACTATGACCACCCATTTGTGGCAGTGGGTATCTGGAGAGATAATCTGGGTCTGCATCATTCTTTCCTGGCTCATATACCACTTCATAGTATTAGTAATCATCTTGTAAGTCCATCACCCATTTCTCTATTCTCGGTGGTAATTTTGCTTGTGCTTTGTTAAACATGGGTTCTAATGGCTTGTGTGCTTCAATAATACTAAATTCTTCTCTCATGTCCCAGTATGGTTCAATGTCCTCATCTTTCCTGTACAGATTGCTAATTCCAATCTCCTGTTGAGATTCTCCCTCCAAGTTTGATTAGTGTTGGGTCAGTGAGGGTTTTCTCTGCTATCTCATTGAGAATCACTGCATTTTCAGATTTGACCACTCTGTCAAACTGTGTGCCTGAGCTGAAAAAACAAAAAAGAGAAACACTCATTATAAACATTCAACAGGCCTGTAGCCAGCTATATTTTTCCTAAAAAAGTGGACCTTTTACCACATTGTGTACCTTAATGAAAGTTTACCCAGGGGGAACCTTTTTACCGACAAAAAGGCCTGTTTGCTTGCATGTCTAAACTCGCAGTGGTCCTGGGCAAAGTCAAACTCGGCAGCTTCCTCATATTCACAGAAATTTGTACTTTCAAAAAATTTCTCATATGCATGATGTTTTGCTATGACTTCGTGTAAAAAAAATCAAACTTAAAATTGTCATCACTTTATATTGGCAAATAACTTTTTAGGACAACATATAGAAACCCTATTGCTCCCTAACTCTGCTAGAACTTTTTACGTTTCATCTCAGATATTTCCAGGAATCCAGATTTACTGTATAACACTTATAACACTCCCTTTATCTATCCTCTACCTCTTGTATCTGTAGATCTCTCTCTCTCTCTCTCTCAAAAGCCCCGCCCAACTGTCGCTTTCAATCCCAAGACTTCCGGTACCAGATCACTGCAACAAAGTACTCACCTTTCTGTCATCAAGAATGTCTTTGCATGCATTTAAAAGGATGCTGGAATCGTGGAATGTCCTACTGCTTCAGATCAAACTTTTATGGTAACCCATAAATATATCTTGGCCTTAGTATAACGTTATTTCATAACGTGTAAAATTTTCCCGCTCCGCCGAACGAAGCCCGACTTAAAGTAGGTCAAAGAAAACCCGCAATGAATACTGGGTCACATCTCGGTACATCCGGTCACATGAAGCGCGCCGCAGTTTTACTCCGCGTCCAAGTTATTATATCTTTTGATTTTTCGTTTAGATATGATATTATTGATTATTGATTGAGAATAAATTACTACAAAAAAGGAAATAATAATTTTTTTATTGTTATTATTATATATTTTCTTTTTGCTTCAACTTTTGCTGGATCTCAGCACTGCTAACACAACGAGCAAATGGAGCATTTTTAAAGGACCTTCGCATTTAGAGCAATTAGGGCCTACCATTAAAAGTATAATAAACAAACTTAAAAATATTCTAAAGTGAATTTTGCCTGCACAGCAACTAGTACCTGTATTTTACTTTTATAGACTGCGCTAGTAAGCTTATATTAGATGCGCGTTAATTTTTTTTTCAAAACGTCTAAATTTTTCCAGGTATATTTTCTCAATGCCTGGTAACGAAGGTTTTGCAAATGGCTTTTTAAGAGAATGCAGTTTTGTCGTGTTTCGTGTAAACATTTGACTGTGCCCTATATTAACATATAGTCCAGTTCATCATGAGGGCCCGTAGGGAAGGGGGGGGGGTGTTCACAGTTTACGGCCACGGGAAATAAAATCATCATATCACAAATCACATAAATTAATTTAAAACTTTATTCGTATCTCTTTGAAAAAGCTAGTCTGGCGAGCTGAAAATAACTATCATCGAGTATAATGACTTCGTTCCACTAAGGACGAAGGATAGAAACCCGCAACTCACGATTCACAGAAATGGGGTGCTTCACATCTCGGGGAATGATAAGTGGCTGTTACGGGTAAGGAAAATAGTAATACCCAACGGGGCCTTCAGTCATTGTCTTAACTAAAATGAAGATTTAATTAATGTCTAAAATATTTCAAAACATTAAAGCAACTAAAATTAATGATCTAGAGCAAAAATACGCCACGTAGGATTTTTCAGCTTTTAAAAGTAGCTGCAAGTTATTTATTGCGTTATTTAAGATGAACATTTTAGACATTTTCTGAGACGTTACACATTATACTTGCTTCCAAACAGGTACCTTATATTTCTACTTTATTTAAAATAAACTTGAAATAAACTCTCTCTCTCTCCGGTTGTCTCTGGCCGAATTCACAATAAGTTGATCTTCGGAC